TGACCGTAATACACCTACAAAATTTTATCAAAATCCGTCAAGACGTGTAAGACAAAATTTGTCCACAAGAATCGGTGACATACACACACACATACATACATCCGGACATTTGTTCCTCTCGACGAATTATATATACTACACTTAAAAATTTGTAAAAATAATTGTTTCTAAAAAATTCGGAAATCGACATCAATATAAGTCTTCCTTTAAGAGTAAGCAAAATAGATAAAATTCACATTCACAGTGATAAATGTTGATAAATATAGCGTATAAACACATTTTCATAAAAAAACAAAAGCGACCACCTTGGGGCCAAAAAAGTGTCCACCTTAGGGCCAAGATACAATTTTTTAAACGTTAATGAAATAATTTTTAACGCACAATATTAATTATATTGATTTGGAATATTATTGTACGATATATAAAGATAATTATAACGATTTTTACTAATTTAAGATGGTTAATTTCGATGATTTTAACACCCTGAGAAAAAAATTTCTCGATCATTTAAAAACAGAAATTTTACGACGTTCACATCGCAACGAGACTCATACGACTAATCTTTGTCTTCTCAAATAATAACAATAACAAAAAACATTCGAAGATACTAACTAATATACAAAAATTTTCTTAGGGTGACCACCTTAGGGCCCTGACCACCTTGGGGCCCTCTCCCCTATTTAAATAAGACTGATAAAATAAATAAGTTAAATACGATGAAAATAAAAAATGTTGTACATTTTTTTGAAAATAATGTAATAACCTTGATTTGCCAAAGACAATTTTTATCACTGTTATTAAAATAATCAATTAATTTTAATTTATTTAAAAACGGAAAAAAATAAAAAACGGACTGAATAAAATTAATTAACAAATGCGTAATTTTGTTAATTATTTCTATACATATAAAACATGTTTTAAGCCCTGGAAAACCTGGAAAAGTTATCGAATTTTATCGAACGAAAATCATAGCAACCCTGTTATGATTAAACTAAAAGTTCTGCGTAATCTCGCTTCGGGATGTTCCACGTTTCGCATCGGGGCTTGAGACGTCCTGATTCGAGGGTTCACATAAAAACATTCAAAAGTACAACTCAAGGCTCGCTTTTGTAGTGCTAGTGGATAGTGATTTTTAGTAAAAATGTTTTTTACGTAGTCCTAGTCCTTGGCCAAATTTTTACGTTTAATTGTTTAAGAGTTAAAAATTATCAAAGTATACATTGCACATTTAAATTAAAATTTATTTTTAATTTTAATTTTTGTAGGTCAAAAAAAATTTTTTTAATGCTTATTTCTAATCGAAAGAGCATGAAAAAACTTTTCAAAACTATACTCGGCAAAATTTTTACGTTTAATTGTTTAAGAGTAAAAAATTATTAAAATAAACATTGCACATTTAAATTAAAATTTATTTTTAATTTTGATTTTTTTAGGTCAAAAATTTTTTTTTGTCAAAATGCTTTTTTTTTAATCGAAAGAGCATGAAAAAACCTATTAAAACTGTACTCGGACAAATTGTTACGTTTAATTGATTAAGAGTTAAAAATTATCAAAATAAACATTACACATTTAAATTAAAATTTATTTTTAATTTTGATTATTTTTGTCAAAAAAATCCCTCTCTAATCTCTTTTGAGCAATGTAAAGACAAAAGTTAAGCTGGGTGTCTATTATTTTCTTTTAACAAAATTTACGTTGTTTTCCTAGCTTTGTCCAAATTTTTTCAAGTGCATCTATTCTCATCAAATTTAAATTTACTTGATTTTAACTATAAATAAAGCTACAAATAACGGACGGCGTATGGGTTTTTATTTCTACTAATACATTTAACAGGGTTTCTGTACCAATCCTAAAAAAAGAATAATATCCAGGAATTTAATTTGACCGGGAAAAACTGGGAATAAGCCGGGAATTTTCTTATCACATTTAAAAACGTTTGATTACATTAATTCGGTTTTAAAAAATTGCTTTTTACTTTAATTTTTATTAGTGTAATAATTCTAATAATTATACAATTAGTTAAAATTAAACTCTACTAAAACTCTAAAAATTGGAGGAATATTTGAATTAATTTTTAATACATTAATTAAAGTACAAAAAATTAACAAATATTTTGTTCTTTGCATTTGAATAGATTAAAAATAACTAATTTAATAATAAAACGTTAGTCACTGATTCAAATAGTAACATTTTTTATTATTTTTTCCGGTCAAATTAAATTATCGGATGTTTTCCGGTTTTCCAGTGTGCTAGACATAGGTACTGTTAAATGTATTGGTAGTAACTAAAACCCGTCGAAGACGGGTACGACAGCTAGTATTAATATAATTTTGATCGAAAATTTTTTTCTAGGTACTTTATAATTTTTCCTTGATTTTTCCATGGTTTTTCCAGGAATTCCAGGTTTCTAGAAAATGTAGCACTGTTATATCGTTTTAATACCTACAATTCTCTATATTATTTTTAAAAAATGGAAATAATTTTCAAGGTTTCTGTTTCTAAATAAAAAATTGTAATTGGTAAATGAAAGCAATTAAATCTTTCCCCTTTTTTAAAAAAATGTAAAATAATTGATTATTTTAATAACATTGATAAAAATTGTCTTTGGCAAATCAAGGATAATACATTTTTTTCAAAAATGTACAAAATTTGTTATTTTCATCGTAGTTTAATTAAACTTAATTAAAAACGTTTTAAAAAATTTAATTATTATTTATTTTTTATCTATATTAAAAGTTTTTTTTACAATATTCATCCGATAAACGATTTTTTTAATTTATTAAATTAATTGATTAATTTATTTCATGAAATTAAAAATTTATTCTTAGAAAATATATATAATACATTTAATTATTGAGTAACATAATGACAGGCCTCGAACTGAGTACATAAATTAAGGAAAAGTACGTAATTTTGAATTTGGTACCTAAAAGTACGTAATTTTGACAAAAGGTCCGTAAAGTACGTAATTTTGACCATTTCGACTAAAAATCAAAATATGTATACAGATTGTTAATAAACATTTAGTTATGCCTTCTCTATTTTTATTCACATTCACTTTCCGATCAATCCGCTGACGGTGATCATTTTCAGAAACAGTGATTGGTCGAAAACGAAAGTCATATTTTGTTAATAAAGGGTTCATACCACTATACATGCCTCAAAATTTAGCTTTTTTGTAGAATTTTTTTACGACCATGTAAATTTTATTGATCTAGGTCTTTTATAGTTTAACAAAGACACTCTTTAACTATATAGAAAACGTCGTTTTATTAAAAAAAATATTGTTTAATTTAATTATTTAAAATTTAACAATAGAATACACAACATGCAAAAATGTGAATTGAGTTACTGATAATGTAAAAATTTACTGATTCAACTAGTAACTATGTATAGCCTTTGTACGCGTTCAAATGTCACCTAAAATAATATATTTAAAGTGCTGAGATCTTTCTAAAATTTTACACAACATTTTTGAGATATTCTATACTTTCAAAATCCGTAAAAAAATTTAATTTTTTGAAGTTGACAAAGTGGTATGAACCCTTAAAGAATTTCAAAAACTTCTTAATTTACAGTTCTTAAGTAAAATTTTATCATAAGAACATATAAAATATTATTTCAGTTTTAAGATTTTCTAAACTAATAAAAATATGTTGATTGAAATCCATGTAATTATTTAAACTATATCATTCTATTTCGCGATTTAAAGTCGGCACTTTAAATAAAAAATTACAAATTTTGGTACGTAAATTGGTCACTAATTTTTCCTTTTTTGGTACGTAAAGTACGTAATTTTCAATGCCAAAGGCAGTTCGAGGCCTGTAATGATAAATTAAAGACAAATTTAATTGGAAATCAAAGCATTGAAATAAAATACTGTAAAAAATTGATTTATTTAATTTAATTAGTTAACATGTTTATTTTATCAGTCTTATTTGAATACTAAATACTTTGAATTTTTATTTAAAAATGTCATTTGCAATAATAATGAAAATATTTCAATTATACGAGACATACAAAAAAAAGATTTTTAAATTAACCTACCTTTCTTCTGTCAACCAATAAAATCACATGTAACTTAAGAGAAAGATTTTTTTTTGTTTCAGTAGTTGGTCGTTTAGCTCAGTTGGTTAGGTTGGTTGTTTTGTTTTCGTTTCCTTCGGTCAATCCCGCGTTCAATCCCTAGTCCCTACAAATTGTTTTTCACAATAAAAAAACTTTCTCCAAAATTCATAACTTCCCAAAATTAATTAGAATAATAATGAAACAATTAAATAAGCAAAATAAATTTTTTTCTTTTATTATAATATTATTTTTAATATTTAACAAATATTTGTCTTATTTTTTTGAGCAAATTTACATCCATAACCTATCTAAAATTATCAGTGATAATTTCCGAACTTATCACGGATAACTTCCAGATAATTCGCTGCGAATTAACATTTCAACTTTTCAGCGACTTCCCAGAGAATTTGCTCTGCGAACTCGCAAAAGGGCGGACATTTAGTTTTCGCCTGAAGTTCGCAGGGAGTTCGCAGTGCGAACTCCCGAACTTCGCATTGCGAACTCCTTGCGAACTTCTTGCGAAATCTTGTGTTATGTGGGTAAAACATAGTTTCAAACCAATTCATTATCAATTTATTTCCATAAAAATTGTAAACTGACATTAAAAATATTAACAAGAGGCAGTTCACTTATGGTTATAAACAGTGGTCCACTCATGGTGACATGCAACTTTTAATGGCAGCCACCACAATTTTTTTTTGAGTCAAAATTATCACTTAATTAAACTAAGACAATCAATTTCAATGTCCAAAGTAGTAGGATAAAAATAAGTTACCTTTTAAAACTTAAATTTTACACTACTTTTACACTTCCGAATCACTTTGCTCATTGAAAGAGCGACTTCTTTTTTGGATTGTGTTCTTAAAAATGTGTTACATCAAACGATAACGTATATGATTATCGCGGAACTTAATTTCTTACGGTTTCTAGGTGCGGTGCTGCTATTCGCACTATTTATTTCACGTTTTCGCTGTCAGATAACTTAAAAGCTCAGGCGGTCCACTCAAAGTAGCGGTCCACTCAAGGTGACAATACCCTACGTAACCCCTTAATGGTGCATCGTGTTAGTGCATTTCCTTTTGGAATTAACCTTGTGAATTTCCATTCTTCTGACGCCAAAATCTTTAGTGTGTCACTCTATTTAACGGAAAAGAGCAAGATAATAAGAGACGCTTCATTATTACCTACGTTTATCATTACGCATCGGTATAATCTCTCTGTCTCTCTGTTTTGAGGGTGAGGGATTGAGGTTAGCTTTGCTAGTGTGAATTAAAGGGTCCGTTCAAAAAATGCAGGTGGAATAAATTTCGGAAAATTACATAAACAAAAATAGCTATTTATTTTCTGGTCAACCAGAACAAAAACACACTGTACACTTAATGAGAAAACGCCTTGAATGTTCACTTGTAAGAGTCTTGTTAATATATCAGCTGACGACCACGCCGGCCGCTAGCACGCTTCACACTTGAAATTAACCTTGACTCGCGGTCTTTCACTATAATGATGTAAGACGAAATTAGAGAACACCTTGTGAGAATACTGTATTTTATTAATATCGATTTTAGTGTAAACCGAGTGATAATTTTGAGTGATAATTTTGAGGAAAACCAGGGATGTGAGAAAAACGTTCTAATCTCTCGAGAGTTCCTTTTTCGAATGAATTTGCATAAATGCGGTGCGACGACGCGGTGACAACAAAAGCGCCCTCGGGCGGTAAATTGCGTACAAATTAAAATTATCGCGCACAACAGTATTTTACCACAATTTAATTCACTCAGAATTGAACATACTCCCCGCCATCGGCAACAGAGTTGACGATCCTTATGTTGAGATGTTATCCTTGAGCACCTCTTCCGTTGAGAGCCGACCTTGATTTGATGTGATGGATGATGCCACTTGGAAATAGCGAGTTGTCGTTGAAGATAACTGGTGGATCATTTCGACCAGAAAAATTGGGCCTGTTGTTGTAGTAATTTCCACCTTGTTAACCTTGATGTTGGTACTTCCAAGAGAGAGGGTTCCGGAATTGATGTGAGTGGTTCCCCGATGAGAAAATGTCCTGGTGTGAGAACTGACAAGTCGTCAGGATTTTCTGTGAGAGGTTCTAACGGTCGGGAGTTGAGAACCGCTTCGATCTGCGTAAGAAGAGTCGTAAATTCTTCATACGTTAAGATCGTTTCGCCGATCGTCCTTCTGAGGTGATACTTGATTGATTTCACGGCAGCATCCCATTTTCCACCCATGTGTGGAGCTGCTGGAGGGTTGAACTTCCATGAGGTGCCGTCCTTGGTTAGTAATTGAGATAATTCCCTGGCTTTTTGAGATCCGTCCTTGAAGAGTTGTTTGAGAGCAGTTTCTGCACCATGAAGTTGGTGCCATAATCACTGTACAGTGTTTGACAGATACCTCTCACTGTAAAAAAATCTGCTGTAAATTTACTATGTCCGACGTTGGAAAGTTTGGTCACTATGTCCGACGTGGTATTTTTACACGCCGACTGTAATCTACATAACCTGCAAATATTTTTTGAAATAATATTTTCAGTCGTAACTTTTTGTATTTATGAAATATAGCCCAAAACTTTTTGTAATATTATTATTTACTTATGAATTAGCATATACTTTCTATAAATGTACATTATATACACTTTTTTAGAGTTATTTATAAAAACTTGAAAATTTTTCGAAAATCTTAAAGGAATAAGAAAATTACATTCGCCATGTAATTGTACAGATCGTGCGACGTAATATTACGTCAAAGTGTAGAAATACACGCAATGTAAAAATACCACGTCGGACATAGTGATCAAATTTTCCTACGTCGGACGTAGTAAATTTACACAAAACTATTAAATTACATAGTCGTTTTATGTAAAATTATTAAAAATAGTAAAACTACTTTTGGAACGAATAAATTTACTACGTACAACCTATAATTTTGATGTGTGAAATTACAAGTTTTGTGTTATTTTACACCAGATTTTTTTACAGTGCTCCTTGAAACAAATCTGCGGTAGGCCGCGAGAAATCCGTCCGTAGTGTAGTCCGATACTACCTCGAGATGCAGAGCCGAAGATGAGAAGCACACAAAGAGGCAAATTCATCCCTTCCTTGTTTTGGCTCCACGACCTTTCCAAGATTTGAGAGTGATTGGACCCGCATAGTCAACCCCAGATGTGAGAAATGGCCTTGAAGGGGTGACTCTTTCCAGAGGTAGTTAACCCATCAGTTGTTGAGCACGAATTCCCCGTTGTCGAGCACAAGGAATGCATTTGAGAATGAATGATCTTACTGGTTGCCTGCCTCTGATGATCCAGTAGGAATTCCTTAAATAAGTTAAGGTGAGTTGAGTTCCGCCGTGAAGAGTCCTTGAATGAGCATCCGCTATCAGAAGTCTAGTGAGAGGAGAGTCCTTAGGGAGGATAGCAGGATGTTTGCCCTCGTGATCCAAACTTGAATGCTTGAGTCGACCTCCGACTCTGAGAATACCTTGATGATCGACGAATGGATTGAGTTTAGAAAACGGATGAGACCTTGAGAATTTTGTACCTCGATTGAGATCCTTAATGTCTGATGAAAAGTAGGCAGCTTGAATATTCCTGATCCAAAAAGTCCTTGTATGATTTAGATCCTTTGGTGTGAGAGGGTTGGTCAGGGAAGAGTTCGGAGTCCTTTTGAGAGCTGCGAGGAATCGAGAACAAATTGCGGTGATCCGCAATAGTGAACGCAAATCTGAATATTGATAAATCAGATCCCATAGTTGAGGATGAATTGTTGTAACTGTGAGTGTTAACCCTGGCCTTTCTTCGACTTGAGCTGATGAGTCCGACCTTGTTATAGAGGATGGCCAGTTTTCCTTGATGTCCTTGAGCCATGGTGGACCGCTCCACCAGAGATGATGCTGAGAGAGTTGTTGAATTGACAGGCCCCTTGATGTACAATCAGCAGGATTTTCTTTTCCTCTAATGAATCTCCACTGACCTTAAGGGACGAGGTCATGGATTGAAGATACCCTGTTGCGTACATATTCCTTCCATCTTGAGGGATGGCTGTTGATCCATGTGAGCGCTACCGATAAGTCCGTCCAAAGGAACACTGGAGCTTCAGATAATTCCAGAGTCCGCTAAACATAAGCCACAAGTCGTGCCAAAATTTGGGCCGCTGAGAGTTCCAACCTTGGAATGGTGAGACGTTTGAGAGGAGCGACCTTGGTTTTGGCACAAACAAATGTAACTTTTGATTCTTGATTAGGTTCCGAGGATTTGAGAAAAACAACAGCTGCCATCGCGAGTTGTGATGCGTCCGAGAATCCGTGAATTTCCGTGGTTGAGGTTGATGTGATATTGAGCCACCGTGGTATTATGATCTCGGGAAGTTGAGCTAGCTCCTCCTTGAATTTGATCCACCGTGAGGATAGATTCTCCGAAAATGGGTCGTCCCAACTCAATTTTTCAAGCCACAGTTCCTGCAGTAACCTTTCCGAGGGAAGTAACTCTCGGAATTTCTCACAACGTACCACATAGTGAGAATTTCCGCAGAATGTACATGATGCCTTGTTGTCCCGATGATTGAGTAGTTGCTGAGAATGCCTTGTGAGATGAGGTGTTACCTTGAGATCTGCCCGATGTTGATGTACCTGATTTTACTACTTGAGAATGGGTGGAAATACTCTCAAGAGCATGAGCTTGACCGGTGAGGAAATCCTTGAGTTGAGCGTAAGTGGGAGGGTCCAATCTTGGGCCAAGTTTGATCTCCCACCCTTCTCGAGTGTAAGGGTCGAGCCTTTTTGAGATGTGATATACCAGCACTTGATCCCATTGATCAACTGGTAAAACGAGACTTGAGAGTGCGTTTAACGCTTCCGTAGTTGAGGACAGGAGTGAATTTAAACCTTGAGCCGATTTGAGTGAGATAATAGATGTTGCGAACAGTTGCTCCATGTGCTTGGTGAAGAGTAACCTTTTATTGTCGTACCGAGCAACGACAATGTTCCAAGCTAATTCGAAACTGTCACCCGAGACTGAGAGATGCGAAATGAGTTGCGCCGCTTCCCCTGTGAGACTGGTCTTCAAATATTGCATCTTTTCGACAGTGGAAATGTCCGGAGCGTTGATGACCAATGAGGAGAAGAGATCCTTGTAACCTTGCCAGTTTGAGTAATCGCCCGAAAAAGTTGGCAGAGGAATTTTGGGGAGCTTTGCGGATGATCGCACTTCCTTGTTTGAGGATGAGGTGGTGAGAGTGGGTGTTTCCTTTTTGCGTAGAATGCACATGTGGTACATCATTGCGTCCCTTGTCTTGGTGTAAATTTCCGTGAATTGACCAAATACATCCTCCTGGATGAACGGATGTTTAAGAAATTTAGCCGAACCACTGGTGATGAGTTCCTCGTGGATGGCATTAAATTCCTCGTAGTACCTCTTGAGAATTTGAGTTTTTAATTCCAAAAACTCCGTACTGTCGACGAAAAGTCCCCTTTGTTAATCTTCGAAGTTTTTCTCGACGATCTTAAGCCTTGTCTGCTGCGTGGCGATTTTGAGTTCGACCTTGGCTGGTGTTCTGAGAGTAGAATACGTTCGAATACTGTTCGCTCTTAGAATCTTCCTCGCCTTCCGTTTGTTAAGAGCTAACCGAATTGTGACCTAAAGGGACCTTCAGGAAAATCTTCGGTTCCACGTGTTGATTGAGTGGTGAGGCACCTGATGGTTTTGTCTTGGAAGATTTTTCCTTGTCGAGAGTTTCCTTGTCGAGACTTTCCATTTCGGGATTTTCCTCGGTGGGATTTTACGGTTTGTGAGTGGGATCCTTGCTAATTTGCTTGTCATCTGACATGGTTCAGAATTCAAGCAGTGAGGTGAGAACGAGTATTGATTTTTCTACCACGAGAAACACTGCACCGTAAGAGTGAGGGAGAAAGAGTGCGTGAGACCGGGATGCGTGGTCAAGGCACTCGGTGGCAACGCGCACAGTAACTTGCCTTGCAACAGTGGGGTACACTGGGGAGAGATTCAAGACGGCGCGTTCTGCGAAAGCAGAGTCTACAATGAGAGAAGGTGCGCATCGATGTTCATAGCTATAGATATACCACAGCATGCTTTAGTATACCTATAGCTATGAACACCGATGAGCACCTTCTCTCATTGTAGACTCTGCTGAAACGGTGAGAGAATCCTTGCTCCGTGCGCGGCACTGCGAAGAGGTGGAAAGAGGGGAATCGTGAACGAGGGCAGCGCGCACACAGGAGAGAGCTCGTTTGCTCGTGCAGGGAGGGGAACGTGAAAAGATGGCGACAATTGAGAAGAACCGTGAGGCGTGCAACAGGTAGACGCCACGAGAAGAATCGATCACTGAGCACTTTCCTTGATGATTATTCCGCTTCCTTGGTGAATCTTGTTCCGTCGACACTTCAAAATCACACAATGCACTTTTTTCCACAGACAATCCGGTGAGAAAAACGTTCTAATCTCTCGAGAGTTCTTTTTTCGAATGAATTTACATAGATGCGGTGCGACGACGCGGTGACTACAAAAGCGCACTCGGGCGGTAAATTGCGTACAAATTCAAATTATCGCGCACAACAGTATTTCACCACAATTCAATTCACTCAGAATTGAACACTATTCCACCTCTCTCTCTAATATCTCTGTCGATTCCCCTTCGTGTCAAGCACACATACACACATAAGTCGCTTGCACCCAGAATGAGTCTTTCACTACAAGACACATTTCTACTTCTCTCTATTTCGCTTTGTGCGGATATTCGTACTTGATCTTGAATCATTTTCCACACATTTAAAAATTTCCTTTGCTTTATAGGCCTTTGTAATCGCCTTATTCTTCTTATTTCATGTTTTAGGGGCCGTACACATAATACGTCACGCGTCTAGGGGGAGGGAGGGGGTCAGAGAATTGTGACTAAGTGTGACATGGGGGAGGGGGGTGAACTCATGTGTTAGGTCACAATCTTTTAAATTCAAAGATTATAAGAAATTATATGTGACAATGTCACTTTTTCTAAATAAAACAAGTTAAAAATGCTTTAAACTATTTAATATCTATTATGTACCTGTTTAACATCTATTGGCATATTATTTATAATATGATGATAAATAATATATTCTCTTAATTTGATTCAGTTAAAAATCATGGTTTTAACTGACAATCAGTAGTGACTGACTTTTTGCTTCTGAATCAGTTAAAAATAACTGAAAAATTATTCACAAAACACCGAAATTTTTCTAAATATTGTATATTAAAGATTTGCTTGCATAATTCGAAAAATTTACTTGCAAAGTTTATTTTAAAATTGTGTAAAGATTAAAATTAAATTTTCAGGAAAGTTTCGCGCTAAACATTTATTGAAGTGGGATATTTAAATCTTTACACAATTTGTGCTATGTAGGTAGTTAAACGTGACTAATTGAATCAATCAAAAACAATTGTATTGAAACATCAGTTATTTTCAACTAATTTTCAGAAAAAAAATATTACTATTTGAATTAGTGACTGACTTTTTGCTTTTAAATCAGGTATTTTTAACTGCGATTCAATAATTTAGAGTGTAAGATATAATATATATTGTCCAATGTATAAAATTTACAGTGAAATTTACGTGTGTGACGTGACGTAGGGGGGAGGGGGGGTTCAAGATTTGTGACGAAGTGTGACATAGGGGGAGGGAGGGGTCAAAAATGGTCCAAAATCGCGTGACGTATTATGTGTACGGCCCCTTATCAACTTATTAAGTTAATCACAATGTCCAGAAAAGATTTAATTAAAGTACTGCTTGAACAAGAAACTATTATACATTCTATTATTAATCTTGTTCCACACTTGAAAAATAGAACAAATTTTCTACTGCTTATATTCGTGAATGATTACACATATTAAATTCAAATTGGGACAAATGCCATTAATTACACGTCATTCTTGAGAGCATGTACACTGACGACGATGCCGATACTCCCTACTTTGCTGATAAACAATTCTACGCCACGGAAGAGAGTTATGAAAATGCCTTTGACTTTCTGCTCGACAAGTTACCACAAGATGATCCTTCTATTCCTGCTCTTGCCGCTAAACATTCTACCCAATTTTCAAAATTAAAGAAGCCTCAACTATCATTGCCTACATTTTCTGGTAACTATACTGATTGCTTATTTTTTCGTGAATTATTCCAATCTCTTGTCGTCGATGATCATTCGCTTAACGATATTAAACGCCTTCAGTATCTAATGACAAGTTTGACTGGCGAAGCTCAATTAATTGTTAAAGATTTACCACTTTCTAATGAAGCATTTAATTTAGCTTGGACTAAACTTAAGAGTCGGTATAATAATAGCCGCGCGCTTATTGAAGATTGTATGCGAAAATTGCACGATCTGCCAGAAATAACTTCGGATTTTTTAACCGCATTAAAATTTATGCGCGACACTGCATTGTCCGTTCTTACCTCAATGACTACGCTTGGTCGTCCGGTTAGTCAGTGGGATGATTGGCTCGTGTCATTGCTCGCATCAAAACTTGATAAACAATCTCGGCGTGACTGGGAGTTACATGTTAGCGATTCGTCTGATATGCCAACGTATGAACAATTCGAAACATTTTTACAATTTCGTATCCGCGCTCTCGAATCAATACCTCTTAATTCTAAAGTCGTCGAGTCAAAGTCAAACAAAACACAGAATAAACAGTCAAAAACATCAACCGTTCACGCTTATCAAACGAACAAAAAACCAATGTGTCCTGTTTGTAAAAATGATCACAAAATCTACGTATGTAAGTCGTTTCAAGAAATGTCGGTAGTCGAGAGAGAATCGTTTATTACTAAAAATTCTCGCTGCTAAAATTGTTTAGCTAAAAATCACTCGTCTTCAAACTGTCCGAGCAAAGGTGTGTGCAAGTTCTGTGGAAAAAAGCATCATTATTTGCTACACCGTGAAAATAAAAATAACGCAAATGAATCAAACAATTTAAATTACTCATCAACTTCTGGTGTTGGTACCTCGGAACTTTCATCACCTTCGCCATCAAATGTCACAAATCATTTAAATGCTTCGGATTATTGTCAGTCTTCGTCTATTTTACTTGCTACCGCTCGAGTTACGATACAAGCCGAAAATGGCCGACAAATTCGTGTACGAGCACTTCTTGATCAAGGCCCTGAAGCCTCATTTATAACCGAGTCTATTGTACAATTTCTGCGAATTCCTCGCTCGCGTGTGTCTACTACCATTTCCGGTATCGGTGGCGCGAGTATCGGAAGCATTTCACATTTGGTTAATTTCGTCCTAAAATTAAATGATTCTGAAGAGTCTGAACACAACGCCAGAGCTTTATTTGTATTAAAGATTTCTGATTACGTAGCGAAGAGATTTGCAATAAATTACAATCTTAATCACATCCAAAATCTTTCTCTAGCAGACCCGTACCCTGACTCGGCTGATCGCATTGAACTCTTGATTGGTGCCGACCTCTACGGATTTCGCTACCCAAGTGGTAAATACTCTGTCCGCTATCCGTTTCGTGAACCTGTAGAAACATTAGGAGAATCTCGATCCCCCTCACTTGCATCATTTTTTCGATTAGAGAAAAAATTGGATCGAGATCAAGAACAAAATAAAAACCTACGATAAATTTCTTAAAGACTATGAAGCTCTTGGTCATATGACCAAACTTACCTTGGAGGAAGCATCGAAACCTACTCGAGTTTTTGTTCCTTAATCGATTTATTGATTAGTTTGTTGATCGATTTATTAATATATGGATTTATTAATATATTTATTAATATATGGATATATGTTCATGTGTATTTTATATATAATTTGTTTGTATGTTTATGTTCAATTACCCAGTAAAAAAAAGTATTGGAAGAGACCGAAATCGCATTGGCGGTGAGTTTCTGCCAATACGTTTTTCTCTTGAATCTTTCGATTTCACGTTTATTGACTCGATTTGGCATTTTAATCAAAAAGACTGATTGATTTAATGTGTAAAATAGCTGATAACGAACAGGAAATATAAAATTTTGTTAAAATGTAAATAAATGAAATTTGACAAACTGTTGGTCTATTACCATATGATTTAGGGTATTTTCTAGATTTTACTCTTTTACTCTTTACTATGTGTAATATTATATGCCTTAACTATAATAAATAAAGGTATTTCTTATATCTTTTTAAATTAAGAATTATACATTTTACATTGTTATTTTTAATTGTCGATTGAAATTATTTATTTATAGAATTAATCAAAATAATTATTATTTATGAAAATTTTCAAAGTATAAAATCTATCGGGATGTAACAGTAAGTGATTGGTTTTTACCAAAAAGATAAATATAGTAGAATGTGTCCTGGAGCTGATCAAGTATACAAAAAAATGATAGGTACTATTTTTAACAAATATCAATGAATGCATTTACAATTACTTACATTATTTGTGTGATTTTTCAAAAAAATTGTAATTAAAATATGATAAATTTATCCATTTGACATGGATAAATGCATTAACAAGTTAAATGCATTATATTCCAAAAAATAATTCCCACAAAATGTGTTGTACGAATATTAAAAATCATTATAATAAATGTAAATGTTTTTTGGATTATTTAAATTTATTAGAGGAGAACGGGGCGAGGCAGCCAAGATGGCACATTTTGGTTTTCGAGGCAGTTATTTAAATAGGTTTTTTCAATTTTAATATCGCGTTAGAAAGCTTATCTTTTTGGCTAAAAAATCGCCATAAAACATTTTGACGTAGGTTGCACTTAAAAATTTTTACAACTCTTTTCCCAAAGGACCACATTTTAGCATATTTGCAAAAACGTGGGGTGAGGCGGCCAACTATTTTAATAGTTAAAAAAACATAACTTAAAGTTAAAATTATTGAAACATAACAAGGTAGTTGTACTTAACTTACTTTTATTTTGTTAGTAAACTTCAAAAATTTACATTTGAATAATATTATAATAAAAACATTAATTAAATTCAATTTAACATTTTAAGGAAATATAAATTTGTTATTCTTAAAAAATGGTTTATAAAATTCAATGTTAACTTTAAAATGTATTGGAGTAGGAAAAAAAGAGAAAACATTTAGAAGAACCAATAGAATCAACACAAAAAGACGAAAAATAGAGCGTTGGCTGCCTAACCCCACGAGTACTTTTTTAGAAAACATTTACATAACCCGTAATATTAAAAATATCGCAATTCCATTAACACCATCGTCTTCAGCACTAAATTCTGCATTGAAAATCACTATACAAAAATTTCATTCGTGTAACTCTATTAACTAAAATCACCAAAATAACTCTTAGAAAAGTTACATCCAAAAAGTCTGTTTTCATAAATGATACTGTCATTGCTAAACTACTGCAGCAATAATGCTCATCTGTTAGCAACTAAAGTAAACTACCATAAGCAGTCTACAATATCAATAGCGCACGATTTGAAAAAATTATGCGGAGATAATAAGCAATTGGCTGCCTCACCCCGTTCTCCTCTATATGATGTTTTTGTTTTAAAATATAATCCACTTCATTATTTCTCTTTTTTAAAATACATTAGCTTTCGCCCGACAACGTTGGGCCTCTTCAGATGAGAATTCTAGAGAATACATCATATAAAAAGATATAAAGAATTAATTAATTAAAAATCATTATTATAAAGTATCATAATCTTCTAAAAATAGGCAACTTAATTTTGCAAAATTTTAACGAATGTAACATTTTACAGATCTTTGGTACATAAGGCGTCTCTACATAAACGTTTATAATTTATATAACTGCTTTTCATAATGTATAATTCGTTCTTTAACTAAAAGTAGGTATCATTGTAGATGTGATAAAATCACCGATCGAAGAAGAATTTAGAAGCGAAAACTATCCTTATATTTATGATGCGGTTACCAGTTATCAATATCCAATATACCATCAAAATTTTGAACAATCAGTGGGTCCTACTTCAAAACATTTCTTAGTTGTCGGCTTTATTGGAATGTTACTTCTATTTGCTATCATTCAAAATACACTTCTTTCAGTTAAACGAAAAGAAAGTTTATTGGACGTTTCAAGACAAAAACGAGATCTTATAGAATCTAAAGGATTGATTCCAATGGTAAATATTATCTATTTAAATAAAAAGTTATGTATTTTTTCTTTTCTTTTTATTACTTATTGTTAAATTTGTTATTCTTTAGTCTCTAGAGCAAGGGGACATTCTGAACGACGACGCCAAGTTGCGCTGCATCCAAAGAACTGTTTGCTCCGAAAATCGGAAGCTCTTTCAAGATTTGGGAACTACTGGCAGATTAGTTGCAAAGTATTTAATGTAAGATTCTCAAATTTTAAATTTATAGTAAGAACTATAAACTTTTAATTCATAATTATATTAACTATTCAATATCTTTTCACTTGGAAAATATAATAACTAAAAAATGTTCCTTTTTATTTTCAATAAACGTATAAAATTCTGAAAAAAATGACACTTTAACAGCAAAATTTTTATTTTTCAATAAGATAATTAAGAAAAACCCCATTTTTAGTTATTTGGATCATTTTTTTATATCTTCCGAAGAAATTAACGTTTTTCAACGTCCATAGGCTCATTTTAATTGTATTATTTGTAGAATTGAGATGTTTTACAAGATTTTAGCTACATACATTTCTTTAGAAAATGCAAGTGATGAAAGTTGAGAGAAAAAATTTAAAAAAATTTAAAGGTACTTTGCAACTAAAAATAATTTTTAAAAATCAAATATATATGTTTAATACAAAACTTTATTTAAAGTTTAAACATGTTTTGAAATAACGGATTTTACTATTTCTATTGTAGCAACTTAAGGTACTACTACACTTTAGAATTTAAAATTTTTTTTTATTGTATGTTTTAACTCTTTATGACTTTAGAAAACACCTCCTAAAGTATTCATAACCAATAATAAAAAATAAAAGTAAATTTTTCAAAAAATATTCAATTAATGTAAAAAGTCATTGACAAATTAAGTAAGTCTTTAAGGGGATTGTGGGGTCCAGCTTTTTGTTACGACCAGTAGAAACATTGGTGCTAATGTATGTAACAGTGTCTGACATAAAAAAATGGTGGGATTTAAATTTGCAAAAGAATTTTAGGTAATTTATGGATGGCCTCTAACGATACATATGTATATAAGGTTTAAACGCGTTTTTCTCAAAATAACGTTTTCTTAAATTGCGGACAGTTTATCTCTAAATCTACTAAACCGATTTTAATAAATAATAACTCGTTTTGTTTGTTAGCATGTCCTGTGTGAGAATTTACCAGAAAATGGTCAAAAAATTAAAAAAAAACATTTTTGCAGACTAGAAAAATACTGAAAAACATAGTGTATTTTGACAAAAATTATTGAAGCATCTGCTATTTTTTTATTTTAGTCCATTTTTCATTAATAGTGGTGAATTTCTATGCAAGACACCTTCCTTTTTAAAAAGCACTTTGGATTTTTTGTTTCTGATTTGTCAATCTTGAGATAAACTGTCCGCAATTGGACAACTAACTTTTTTGAGTTTCGATCTCGATGCTGTCTGCAGATTATGATATTAAATATAAATTAAAAACAAACCATTATTTTTTTTCTCAAAATATGTACTAATATAGGCAAAAAAGTTTTTTAAATATTTATAATAAAAGACCTAAAAAATTTTTTTTTTAAATTTGATCTTTTAAAAGCCTTCTAAAGTGTAGTAGTACCTTAATAGTAATTATAATTTTACAAATTTTTTGACGAAACGTTAATTTCTTCGGAAGATATAAAAAAATTAGTCAAATCACTGTAAATAAAGGTTTTTCTTACAATGAGTAACAGGTTTCGTGAGAATTCGAGAGATTTTTTAAAAACTTGCTTGTCATATTGGATCCTGCATTTTGAATTCTGATATTCTTAATTGTAATCAGGGACCTAAAAAACTCCTGAGCAACGAAAACCCCTAGATACCAAGCGAAGTGAAAATCAAAAAAAATTAAAAAATTTGTCTCCCATATTCGATTCGCTTTTTTGCATTTTTAAAATCTGACAGCAGATTCGTAATCAGCGATCTCAAAATCGCCGAGAAACAAGTTTGAAACGAATCTAATCAATTTTAGAAAAAATTTGTATGTTACTTAAATTATTAAATAGAATCTGACATGTTTTTTGGGGCTAGAAAAAATATCCTGACGTGATGGAGCAAATCCGAATTCGGATTCGTGTTCAGCGCACCAAAATACATGGGGTTATTGTACTGTGGTCTTTCACTCAAGCTACTTTTTTGTGGGGTTGTGTTATATTTTATATTATGTTATATTTACATATTATATAATTTACATGTTTACATGATTACAAATTACATAATATGTTACATAATTTTAACTGTATTGTAACATTTTCCTAGATTCAAAAATATTTTATTCCATTACTATTAAAAACTGTGCGAAAATATAATTCTTAAAACAAGTTGTTTCATTTCAACTAGTTTAAAATAAAGAAAAACTAAAAACACATGCAACAGGTTAAATTTCTTCGTCTCTGTCGTAAACTATTAATTGTATAAGAAAATGGTAGGAGAATGCTTCGAATTTTAGAGAATACAACTTTTGACAAACAATTTTGAAAAGCCTAATCTTTACAATTGTCTGTAGGAGCTCCTCTAGTTATTGTCTTAAAATAAAACGCAGTGACAGTTATGTTTCGCGTCGTGTGAATTTCATTGTACCCACATAGCACAATAGTATGAGGTAAGGTTATGTTGAATACTAATCGTAAGGCTCATAAGGTTACACGATATTGCTGTGGTAGACCTAAGGTGAACTAAAAACTTCCGCCATGGAGGTAAGGTTACTTGTTAGGGTGTGGTAAGTATATATGATAAGGCTATGCTAACCTTACACGTTAAGGTTGAGATAACCTTACACGTTAAGGTTGATGTAACCTTACACGTTAAGGTTGAGGTAACCTCACACGTTAAGGTTGAGGTAACGTTACACGTTAAGGTTGAGTTAAGTTTATATGTCAAGGTTGAGGTAAGGTAATTATTAAGTTGTAAGGTTGAGGTAAGGATAAGGTAAGGTTGTGATAAGTTTACCAGTTATGGAAAATATTGATAAAATAATTAATAATATAATAAATAAATATTAAATTAGAAAGTTAAGTTTGTTGCTCTTCTCTATTTTGGAAACCTGACATGAAGCAGAAAATTTTGAAAACAAATTTGGGGGGACTGGGATTCGAACCCGGGATCGACGCGCATAAACCAATCATTCTAACTAACTGAGCTAAGTGCAGAACTGTCAGAAGGAAAATCAATTTTGCCTTTAAGGAGTTAATCATATTCTTGCTTCACCTTAAAGGCAAAATTGATTTTCCTTCTGACAGTTCTGCACTTAGCTCAGTTAGTTAGAATGATTGGTTTATGCGCGTCGATCCCGGGTTCGAATCCCAGTCCCCCCAAATTTGTTTTCAAAATTTTCTGCTTCATGTCAGGTTTCCAAAATAGAGAAGAGCAACAAACTTAACTTTCTAATTTAATATTTATTTATTATATTATTAATTATTTTATCAATATTTTCCATAACTGGTAAACTTATCACAACCTTACCTTATCCTTACCTCAACCTTACAACTTAATAATTACCTTACCTCAACCTTGACATATAAACTTAACTCAACCTTAACGTGTAACGTTACCTCAACCTTAACGTGTAACGTTACCTCAACCTTAACGTGTAAGGTTATCTCAATCTTAACGTGTAAGGTTACCATAGCCTTATCATATATACTTACCACACCCTAACATATAACCTTACCTCCATGGCGGAAGTTTTTAGTTCACGTTAGGTCTACCACAGCAATATCGTGTAACCTTATGAGCCTTACGATTAGTACTCAACATAACCTTACCTCATACTATTGTGCTATGTGGGTAGTTTCAGTGCTAAACTATTAAAATTAAATATTAAAACTAGTGAAAATATGGTTAAAAAACGCAACGTGAAAGGAATTTTCATGTGTTCAATGTATAACGTCAAGTTTTAAAACCTAACCTCACTTTCTAGTGGAGTCTTGAGTGGTAATGAGTCAATTCAGTGGAATAGAAATTTCTACTGATTTGCTGTAGATTCTGATTCTTTTGAATGCGCGTTTCATATTTTTGTGAAGTCAATTCAGAATAATAGATTCTTTTGAAATTTTGGTGGTTCCCGTGGAATAGAGCTCCGAGGTAAATTCGCCAATTAAGAAGAATATAACTTTTGAATTCTTTTCAATTCTACGCTTCTTACCGGGAAAGGAAAAGAAAAAGGTTTGTTTCTTTGTATGTTTCTACACCTAATACGTAAGTGTTTAATGCTGTCAATTTATTTATATTAAGTAATATTTATACTTTTTTTCTATTAGAGTAAATTATGGAAAATCCCAAGAATTTTTTAGAGATATGGGGGTTAGGCGAGTATATTAAAAACTTTGAAGGTTTTATCTTTTATACTTCTTTCTATTTTTATATTTAAATTTAATTTATTTATTTTCCTTACATTATATCACATAATTTTTAAATTTTTAGTGCAAAAAATTGATTCCGAATCATTTTTTTACTTAATGAAAGCGTTTTGATTCACTTAATTCCTCCTTCAAAAAAAGAAAATATGGAGATATTGAAGAACAATCGTCGGAGTTAAATGAAGTATTTTTCGTCGAACAACCATTTACGTTCCAACAAAAACCTGAATTGGCGCAGTCAACATTGGATCAAGGATCATCATCATCAAATTCTTTTTCGTCAATAAAATCAAATTTAATTTCAAAAAGAAATATTGACCGTGTAACGTTATCTGACTGCGAAACTTTTTCAGAAGTAATGAATAATAATTTATTCTTATTTACCTTTGTTTTAAATTGAAAAAATTTAAAAGTACAATACATGTTTAATTTTTAAAAATAAATAATACAATTATTTTATTTTTAAGGGGACCGTACACCACGTTTGCGTGTTTTTTCAACATTTATTTTTTTATAGTAAAATGTATCGAAACACTGGGCTCTTTTCACACATATTGAGGATTAAGAAAAAAATATTTTTTTTATTTATTCTGCCCTTCATGGCGACAAAATGGCGGCTGAAGTGAATGTCAGGAAAAAACTGGTTGACACGATATCTCTGCTTCAAAATGTCTAAAACAAAAAATCCAAAGAATTTCTTAAAATATATGGGGCATTCCAGGCCAAATCGGAAATTATTTTGCTTTTGCATCTCAAATTTTTTTTAAACATTTTTTTTCTTTTAGTACTCTTTGAAATGAACTACCTTGATTTTTTTCAAATT